GCGAGACGGCCCCCCTGGCCGCCTGTCCCTCCGCCCCGTGAGCACAGCCGAGACCCGAGGACAAACAGGTTTGTTCTTAAGGGCTGTGCGATGGGCTCCAGGGAGTAAACAGGCTCTTGTTCTATCTGACAGAGATCTTCTGCCACGTGAAGCTGTTTGTGTGTCCATGGTGATGTCCCGCCACACGCTGCAAGCAGAGGGGAACACGTGCAGGTTGTGTTGTGAACCCCCAGTGTCAGGAGCTGCCTCAGGGCACAGCGAGTGCCTGTGAGCAAACGTCATCCCAGCACTTTAGGTCTGTGCTGGGAAAACCCATCTGCCAAGAGCCTGGTGAGGTGTTTGCCCACAGGTGGGACTGGGCAGGACTGGCTGGAGGAGGCACAGAAGTGTTTGTGTTCTGCAGGAGGAGCTGCTGGGCAGGGCGCTGGTCTCCCCCAAAGGGACTGGCCGAGCCCTTAGGATGCCAGTGGAACCCCAGCCCAGCAGACAGGGTACCACGGAACTCCTGACGCCTGGCAGCAGCAGGACAGGCTGGAGGGACCAACGTGACACGTGTGAGATGCTGTGTGAGAGGGCTGAGTGCTGGCACTGCCCTTGCCCGCGGCGTGAGCTGCTGAGAACAAGGAGCTCTGTCAGACACTGACCCACGAGCCTGCCCCATCCTGCTGTGAATCGGGAGTGAGTCCTGGAGTCGAGAGGTGTGAAGGAGAAGGGGCCCCCAGGGCCGCTTTGCAGAGGCTGTGCCTGGAATGAGCCTCTGCTTTAATCAGAGACTCCATTAAACCAAATGAGAGGCAGATGTTCCAGGGCAGGGGCTGCCGGGCCCGGCTGGGGGCACACAGGACAGCACAGACCCGCTCCCAGCAGCACTAAAGCTCTTATCACCATGTACTGGTGATGCTGGACCAGAGCCACAGTCACGGGCCATGTCCCCAACCTTTATTGACAGCTACGGCAGCGACCGGGCTCGGGGGGCTCCCCGGCAGTGCTGCAGCCCGTGCCCAGTGCACAGATCAGCAGGAGAATGTGAACTTGGAACCAGAGGAATACAAAGAGCAGAACGAGCAGATAACCCCAAACCTGTGTCCGTAAATACCTCCTTTGTTCTAATGTGCCTTTTTTCCCCTGACTTCTGGCCCTGTGGTGTTATTTCTCACAGTTGCCATCCCAAGCGAGTGGATACAGGAAGGCTGAGCACACAGAGCACTGCTGCACAGAGAGGAGGGATTTAGGATGGGGGGTTGGACCTGAGGAGGACTCCTGAGTAATCCCTGAAACAAAATCCCACCCAGCATCCAACCCATCCTGTTTTCCTCTGAGGAATGTCTCCTGCACACAGGAGCAAGCGGAGCCTGGCAGGGGCTGCCTCCAGCTCTTCTCCAGCAGGACAAGACCAGCTTTCAGATTGTAACAGGGCTGCTGTCTCCTGGGGCCCCTCAGGAACACACCAGAACTTGTTCTGAGCATTTTTCTGAGGACTGAGCTGCATTACAGGGCGTATCTCATGAGGGCACATGGAACTGGTTGAAATTAAGGCTGTTAAACACTGGATAATAAAAATGTGTGAGACCTCTTTGCTGGTATCTCATCCCAGATAGTCGTGTTCCTACCAAGCCTGGGTACCAATTCCTGGATCCATTTCCACAGCAGATACAATATGTGTTTACATTAACCAGTATCCCACTGGACCACAGCATTCCCAGGACAACTAACCCCTTCTCATCGCTGAGGTTTGCTGAACTACTACAGCCCTTCAGCTCCCAACAGCAGAGTGTACAGGCCCAAACCAGCATGGGGGATGTGAAGCCCTGTGGAGTTCGGGGCTCTCCCTGCTCAGGCTGGCAAAAGAAACTCACAGGAATGAGCACAAGAGCTGCATTCAGCCACCCCAGCAGCCAGATTTGGGGAGCAAACCTTCTGACAAGTGACACAAACCACATCCCACCTATAGCCCCTGAGAAAAAACACATTCCTGCCTCCAGGCAGTACCAGAGGACTGACCCAGCCTCCAAGGTCACTGTAAGCACTAACAGAGGCTCCGCTGCCTTAAAACCTCAGCCCCATCCTTGAGGCCAATAAAAACTGAGAGGCGAGGTAAATGGTGAGCACTGCAGCTCCTCGGGGAGCCTGTGCAGTGAGCGTGGTCACCTCCTCATCAAAACCCAGCTCTCCTCCTCATTAGGCTCTTGCCCTTACAGTAATGACTGTAAAACCACCGGAGCTGGCCTCATGGAGGGTACCCTGCGGCCGTGCTTCCCGCTGGGAAGAGGCGCTTGTGGGGAGGTCAGAGCAGGGAAAGGTGTGTGTCAGCCCTTCTGAGGGCCGCGGGTCTGGCTGCACAGAGAAGTGAGCTGAAAGCAGTGCTGCAGGCCACTTCTCAGCCTGGGCTGCATGAGCGGAGGTGACCAAAGCCAGAGGACAGCCCTGCAGCAGTGCAAGGGCAGGCTGAGCCCCAGAGCAAGGGAAAATACAGCATCACACAGTGCTTGGGTTCAGCAACTCCACACACAGCGGCCACTCCTTTCACCTACAGACTTGCACAGATCTATGAAGGGTAGAAACATATGTATTTATTATTTCACACATATATATTCTAATATACATATATGTCCCTGGTTCTACCCTATCTCCCGACGAAAATTCCTTATTTCTTCCTGGAGAAACGTGCTGCTTGTGTCCCACGGCAGCGGGGATAGCTCAGTGACAAGCTGCAGAGCTGGAGAGGGTTGTGCGGTGGAGCGGAACTCCCTTCAGGGTCTGGGAGCTGGCAGAGGTTACCTGAAAGGAACAGCACAAGGAACAGAAACTGAGGAGGATCCGTTCTAATTTTAGGCTCTCCTGGCAGCAGCTGCTCTGGAGAACAGCAGCTGCAAGAAAAAGAGCCCCAGGAACAAAGCACTGCAGTCAGGTCACCTTCACCAGCACGTAGTCCCCTGGCTGGGCCCTGGCCGGAGCCTGGCAGCCCGCAGCATCCTCCACCTCGGCATCAGGGAAGATCACCTTGATGTTGCCATCGTTCCTGCCACACAGCTCCAAGGCAGAGCGCTTGCTGGGCTGCAATGAGGACAGGGACCGTTACCTGCCTGGCAGCAGCTCTGATCCACTGCTGGGCTTTACTGCCTCGGGAATTAATTGAGCACTATTGCCAGCGTTAAAATCCCCATTGCACACTGTTAAGCTTGCTACGTTAGCAAGTCCTCTGGCTGAGCTGCTGTGCTGACACCCACACCCCAAAGCCAGTGCCCTAATTCAGTGCTTGGCCAGAGACATGTCTCTAACCTATCCCATCCCGCTGTGCTCAGCTCAGGGCTCTAGAAGAGACAGGCTGTGTGAAGCTTAAGGGTGAAGACACAGTCTTGGAGTCCTAGGAGTTTGTGGGGAAAGTGAGAAAGGAGGGCAGAAGTGATGATTGCTGTGTACAGCCTCAGAGGGGAGGAGGAGGACTCCATTCCAGGCATACTCACCCCCTCCACCAGCACCAGCTGACACTGGCCCACCATGGCCTCATTGGCCCTTGCAGCCTCCTCCCGAAACACGGTGATGAGCTCCTGCAGCCGCCGCTGCTTTACCTCTGCGGGCACATCGTCCTGCAGGCGGTGAAACGCCCGCGTCTTCTGCGGACAGACAGAGCAAGGGCGGCCTCACCAACCAGGCAGAAATCAGACCCTGGTCTGCCCCCAGCCAGCTCGGCTGCTCCTGCAGCGACAGCTTTCCATGTGTGACAGTTTGCATTTACAACCTCAAGGAAGGTTTTCAGTGCTAAGCACCAGCAATACCCAGGTTCCTCACATTCCTTCTGCAGCACCTTTTTGGTAGAAGGTTTGGTGTAAGACACTGAGTATCAGTGGCTGTGTGGAGCAGTTCTGCAGCTCCTATGAGATGTCCGTTGCCTGTTTGTCCACAAGGACAGACAATAGATTCTGCTACTTCTAGTCCCATGTGATGAAAGGTGACCCATATTCCTTTGCTTCCTTCTGTTTCCCAACTTCCTGTCTCCTTCCCCATCAGCATCTCACACTTCGGAGAGCATTCTAATGGAGACCTGTCAATTATCCACTCTTCTCCCGGAAATACCTTCTGAAAATTCACCACTTCTCTCCAGACTCGATTGACAGAGTCTCTGTCCCTGGCTCCAGCCCAGCTCCATCAGCACAATTTCTCACTGACAAATAAGAACATACCCACAGCCAGATCTCTGCAGGACTTACGGTGAGAAACAGCACTGAGGAGCTGGGTGAGATGCCCAGAGGTAACAAGTCTGCTGCATCAGGTCCTGCACTCACCTGTCTCATACTGTAGGCAAACAGGAAGGCCATGTTGTAGCAGACTTCCCGCAGCAAGGACACGGTCTGCTGGTGATCTTCTTCTGTCTCTCCACAGAAGCCAGCGATGAAATCACTGCTTAAGCTCACCCCTGTCACAGAGACACAGCTGTGCACATCCTCAAGGAAGAGAGGAATGATCCACTCAAGAAAGGAGAGCATGATACAACTGTGCTGGGCTCAGACCAAGCCAAAGGGAACACTTACCTGGAATGGAGTCACGCACGTGGTGTACAAGCTCCAAATATGCTTCTCTTGTGTATCTGCAATGAGTAACACATGGATTTGCTCATCGGAAGCCCACGACTCTGGTGTGGAGAAACAGCAGCCTGAATCAGGGGGCAGGGCTCAGGACTCCCTGTGGTGACCACTCACCCGCGACGCATGGCCTCCAGGACTCGTGTGCTTCCACTCTGGGCTGGGAGGTGAAGCTGTTTGCAGATGTTGTGTCGCTCCTGGATAAGCTGCAGGACCTGCGATGAGCAATCAGGAGGCAACATCACAGAGAGCTCAACTCTACCAAGCTGTCAAGGGGAAAGCCAGCAAACTGCAAACCTGCCAGCTTTAGCACAGACATTCCCCCTCCCAGGAGCTGCTGCTCCCATTCTTGGGTTCAGCATTCCCTTTGGGAAGGAAGCACAGCCCACATGTAGCAGTTCAGAGCCTGCCTGCAGAGGTCCAGGTATTTATTTTCCACTTGCCTCATCAGGGAAGTCCTTGGGGTGTGGGGAGGTGAAACGGATCCTCATTTCTGGATCAATCCTGGACACGTGGTCCAGAAGATGTGCAAAGCGCAGACCTCCTGGCTTGGCTCTATAGACTGTGCTAAAGCCACGGCTGAGGCCTGGGGCTGCAGCTGATTGAAACTGCACCTCAGACATGTCTCGAAAGCTGTTGACGTTCTGACCCAGGAGGGTCACTTCTTTCACTCCCTACAACAATAAACAGAGAGGAACAACCATAACCTGGTCAGGATGGCTACACTGCAAGAAGTCATGGTTCTACTCTTACTTCTGGGAGCAGTCTCCAAAGGAAGCCCTCCCTTCCCTGTCTGGCTCGGAGTATTACAAGGGGAATCAAAAAGCCACTGGTGGAACCCTGTGGTAACCTCATCTCTGCAGATAAAGGTGGTGCCTTCGTCAAAGGTACCACTTCACCTTCACTGAGAACCAGCCCTTCTCTCACGACTTGGGACAGGAGGGGAGGAGGCTCTGCCTCACCTGATCCGAGAGCATCCTCACTTCCTGCAGGATGGATGCGATGGGGCGGCTCCTTTCCCGGCCACGGGTGAAGGGCACAATGCAGTAACTGCACATGTTGTCACAGCCCCGCATGATAGATCTGCCAAGAGCAGGTATAGGTCATTCCACCATCTCTCCAGAAGAGTCATCCACGTTGCATCCAGCCCTGTTTCAACAACTGCTGCCTTCATCAACGCCCTCAGCCCGCAGCACATGCACCACCAGCTCTGAACACAGCTCTCAGCTGTGTTCTCTCCAGCAAGCTCTGGCTTCTGCTCACCCCAGCAAACACCTCCTCATTCTTCATGCACATTTCCAGGAAACATGGAAAGCAACTGCTGAGGCACAGGCTTGCACCACAGCCTGGCAGGGATGAGACATCCTTCTGCATCCTGTTCCTACGGAGGGTGGTACCATCCCTCTGTCTCTATGGCCACACTGAACAGAGTCTGATTTCATGTTTGGGATTCTTCTTACCAAAACTAAACAAATGGCAATGAAACCATCAGAAGTTACAGTTTATGGAGGATTAGAAGAACTAAATGGGAAAACCTAGGACAGGACATGGCAGAAGGGAGGGGGAGAAAGAGGTGCAGGCTTCAGTGGGCACAGACATCAGTGGGACAAGAATCTCTTGGTGCAGTGCCAGGCTTAGACAACCAGTGCTCTCCAAGGATAACATGAGCAGCCCACAGCCAGCCAGAGCACAGGCAGGCTCTCCAGGACTCAGGCACACAGTGAAGCAGACTCATGCTTCTGGGCTGCTGGGAGCGAGTGCAACCAGGCACTGCACCTCCTGGGTAGCTGCTGCCACCGACGTGTCTGTTCTGCACAGCAGCATTTCCAAATCAGAGCCACAAAAACACGCAGAGGAAAAAGAGGTACTTACACAAATGCTGTCGTGCCACCTGCACTAGTCTGGACAGGCAGGATGTCTGCGTAGGTCTCATCTAGCGACAGCAGGACATTGGCAGCTTGTTGGCCAGACTCTGCCACGGCCAGCAGCCGGGGGAGGTCACGGTATGCATCAGGG